AAAGAGGAAAAAAAACCCCCCACACAGTTGAATGGTGTATTTAATGAAATACATGTACTTTCACATAGTTTTGATTAATGTTCGGCTGTTAAAGTAACATGCTTAAAATTAAACCTTTCTTTAAAGTAAAACTGAATTACATTTCTAGCATCATTCTTTAGAAGGAAAGCCTGTTATCCCAGCACTAAGATAAGCAGCGTATCAGTGACTATTAACAAAAATTCTCAGCAATCTGTTTATTACAGGAAATGTTCCTTATGGAAAAAATTAACCAGAAAATGAACAACTATTGAAGTCTCTAATATTAAAGTTCAGTATTAGTAGTTCTGACCAGAGGAGAACAACTTTGTTTTGTACTTGGTTTGACCCCAAGATTTTGACTGAAGCTTCTTCCAATTGCAGATATAAATTTCACCCATAAGTTATTTTCTAGATCTTATTAAAGAAATTTTTAAGTCAGACATACAAATTTGAGTCTACTACTTTGGTTCTGACAAGATTTTTGAAGTATAAAAACAGATCAACCTTTGTATTTGTCTTAAATAGAATTGGACTTATGCTGTTTGAAAAAAAACCTCAAGAACAAAAACATAAGGTTTTTTTTATTTTAAATGATATGAAAACAAGTTCATTACCACAGGGGGAATTTAATGCTTACTGATTGCCTGAGCTATCCTCAAGCAACGCTCCCAAATTCATGATTTCTCTGCAATCTGTGTTTTAACCTAGTAGGACTTCATCGTTCATCATATTTATCCACATATTTAAGTAATAAAAGTGTCTAAAGACAAGAAGATTTGTATTAGATACATGGAGATATGGAATTACATATGACAATGTAAATCACATTGACTGACAAAGCTCCTTTAGACAGTTAGCATCAAGCGTTACACTTTTTGGGTGTTTGTGACCTGTATCATGATGCAGAACAACAATGTATACAGTTTAGCTCCTGCCTTATTATTCTAAGTCCATGTTTCTAATTAGTAGACTCCAAATAGACTCAGTCTACAAGAAGCCTAAAACACTACCTGTGAATCTGACTCTCTCTCATTAAAATACGAATTCCCTTCCCACAATAAGGATTTTTTTAAAAACATAGTACTATTGTGCTTACAGTAACCAGAAGGGAGAGGAAGAAAGGAAGGTATACAACTGCAAAATTAAGAGTTGCTGCTGTTCAGTAAGTTCAACTCCATGTGCCTGGACAGTGAGGAATCAGGTTCCAGAACCTCCCTAGATAATGGGAAGGGCAAAATGAAGGTGGGACAAAGGAAGGAATACGAAGATGTATGATCTATCTTCAGAAACACTAAGAAAAGAAGAGGAAACCACAGGTGAAGATGTGAGAAATAGGACTGGGTGGTCTTAAAAACTTTTCCAATGAAATTGGCATCAGAGGGCTTTTAAAGTTTTAATAATACTTGTCTCACTCAGGATGATCATGGTACGTCACTAATATTTACAGTATTCTATTACTAACATCTGTGTTAGTCTCTCAAAAGCAGAGATTAATCCTAAAGGCCATTAACAGCTTGATGGACAGCAAGAACTGTGAGTCTCCCCTCCCCGTGTCTCCCATTTCTACCTCCTCTCGAAGATCTACAGAAAACATTTATTGGTATTTTACACCAGCCTCAGCTGAAACAGTGGTGGATATGACAAACTGCTTCCCTGCACATTAAGAGATGCAGCAGCTTCTTCCCCTCCCTCCAGGTTTAGGGCAGAGAAGCAGTTCTTGATGTACTCTCTTCCCATTACAGGAAAAATAAAAACAATAATTAAATTAAAAATCACGGGATTCTAAAGTTCAAGATCTTACCTCTATAGTTAAGTACTAATATTAATCAATTCTGAAACCTTCAAAACACATGTAATTCCTAGCTAGCAGCTTCTAGATTGTCCTTTTTATTTAGGAGAGCCACCTCATTATTTGTCCTTTATACCTTTCCGATTCAGAAAATCGTCCTCCATGAAATCCAACCTTTCAGAAACAGATGCTGTACTATAAACATGTCCCAAGCAGCGTCTGGATAGTTGCAGGCACCCAGGAGCACCAAGTCATTTGTTTTTACCATCTGTTCTATTTCCCAAAGCAATAACTTGTATCTTTTCTTCTTGATTAGGTGGTCTACTCTAGAGCAAACTCTAAATTTAAAATACGCTTGATTTTCCCCTGCCTAAGTTTAAAAAAAAAAGGTCTCATTTGAACTCGTACTCTCTTACAGCACATACAGTCATATTTTTAGAAAGCACTTACACGTTTTTTTCTGTGCCTACATATCATCTGTGAAAGGTAACTCATCCTGACACTCTAGTGAACACATCTATCCTACTACTTAAGATATTTTACGAGGCAAATATGATTTAACAGCATTAATTCTAAGTGACTTACTCTAATGTGTTTTCAAAAGCCTTCTGAAATGAAGCTTCCCTTCCCTCCCCTCTGCACTTTCACTCCTGGACAGTCAAGACACACAAGTTCTCGCTCGTTCTTGGTAGTATTTAATAACTTGATCTACCCACCCCCTAACTCCTCCTTCTGGAAGTGCAGCATCCTTGCACTCTTCTCCCAGAGCCCTTTTAATCACACGAAGTAACCATTCACGCATTCTCAGACACGTGCATTTGTCAGAGGCATCTTTTTCTGATTACCCCCTCCCCTTCAATTTTCTAACATAAAATTGACTGATTTTATCTTCTGCCAAGAATTTTGCAGACCTTTTTGTTTAAAGTCCTTTGGTTTGTTAAGTAATATCCACTCCAGAGAAGGACAGCTCATTTACAACCACGTTATAGCCACCAAAACACAAATAACTTCTACTGCTTCATCTTTAAATTACCACTTGGGAGTTCAGAAGTGAGATGCAATGATTTATGAGACCTTCACAGTAAACCCTGGGCTGACTGGGAAGAATTTCAATATCTTCTCCACTCAGTACAAACTTTTATTTTTGGTTTTGGAGCGGGTTTGTTTTGTTTTGTTTCTTTTCCTTCTCCTAAGCACCAGCTCCCCGTGTTATTTTCATATTCTGTATGTTATCAAGTGTTACCATTTAGTCTTGAAACACAAATGACGTTTTGTTATGTCTCAGTTTTATATGCATTCATCCTTCAGGAATTTAATTTACATGCATCATTCACAGCACCAGCAGCATTTCTCCAACACTAACAAGGTTAGCACTTTCAGTTCTGACACGGCCTTTCAGTGTCATTTATCTCTTTCCCCATGTAGTTCTGTAAGCAGGCATGTTTCAGACTTGAACAGAGTCCTCACACCTAGAAACACAGGGACAGGTACCATCCTTGTTACATTACACAGAGGAAATAAACATATTCTGGACACTACAGATCTTTTGACAGATCCAGAGATAAACATTAGAAAAAAAAGAACTTCATTTTAAAGTTTTATTTGAAGGTCTTATATTTTTGTTGTGTAATTATCATTTATCAATTTGGTAGGTCAACTTCTACAGCAATAAACCGCCTTTTAGATAAACAATTATGAAAGTTGTACACAGATAAAAAATGCAAATAACACTTACCATGACATGATGCAATCCATAGTACATCAAAATGTCTGCTAAGGTAAAAATATTTCCTGCAAGGTAGACTTTATCTTCAAGGTGTACGTTAAGATCCTAAAAAGGAAAAAGTCATTATACAGCTATAGTAGCAACTTTGTAAGATAAAATATTAAGGCAATTGTTAAAAATAATAGAAAACCTCCTCTGGACATCATGCATGTAAAACAAAATAAATGCCAGCTTTAATTTACCCAACTCAAAGGAGAACAACATTAAAAGAAGAAGAAATTCTAAAAATCATCAAGATAATAAACTGAAGTATCATCATTCTTTGACAGTGAGGACTCACTAATATTCAAGTGCTGGTCTCTAAACAAAGTGCTAGCCAGCTTGCGGCAGGCACATAATTTTTCATAATTCCCTCACATTGACTCAAATTTTTTTGTAAATATGAGAGTGACTTATTTTACATATTAAGCTGACTTCACAGAAACACTTTCAAATCTGTCTTTTCTTGGCTTCAAGTTACCAGAATTCAAAAATGCAAGAGTTGTGTTGTTTTTTCTTTTATTAGCACATATGACTCAGAAGCACCACTGTGACATGTCTGATGGGTGGAGATTGACCGAAGGAGAGTATATTGCTCTTCCAGCAGCAGCTTCTCCTGTCCTCCAGAACTCACTCCATGCAGCTGGACAGCAAGGTTCTGGAACTGCAAACGTGTAAGAACCAGGGAAACACAGAGGGATGGTGGGGTGGGAGGCAAATACCGAGTGTTTAAAGCTCAATGCTGGAAACTTGACACCCATCAGTCGGTATCATTCGACATCTGCTTTTATTAGTGCTGAAGTTGCTGCTCGTATTAGTCATTAAGAGCTGCTGTCAGTCCAGTTGCTATCCAAGTCCACGGGAAGAGAGCACTGCTTCAGCATCTTAAGATCATCTCTCAACAATTCCCTATCAGAGGCCATAAGGGTGAGTAGTAGGCGGCTTCCATTTAGGTTCAACAAATAAATATTTCAAATCTGTATTACTCTAAGACCTTTTTTCATGTTTTTTTTTTCAGCCTGCCAGAAAACAGGAGGCTGACAGAATCATCATTGCTCAAGCACCTCAATCCGGAGAACACAGGCATCACACACCAGCTCTACTTCTTTTCCTGTCCTTCCTTTTCTCCACATCTTACCTCCTTCTCGTCCAACTTATGCACCTTCCTGCCCCCTACTTCCCTCTAAAGAAAAACATAACAGCAAACAAACATCTGCTTTAACCCTGACCTCAGCATAAGCAAGCTTTCATTTTATAACATTCTTTACAGAAATGCAGGAAAAGTTTCCCAGCTTTCCCTTGGATTTGAAAACTCTCCCTTTTAGTATTCTTCTGTCAGTTAACTGGTAGTAGATGCATCCCTTTTTCCTCAGAGATCTCCTTAAGCCACCCTCTACCTCCAACCCAGAAACAGAAGCTGCTTAAAACATAACTAGTATTTTTCAAAACATCCCTAAAATAATTTTTCCGTCTCAATTACAGCATGTTCCATTTTAAGACAAACTTTTAAAATAAAAGTCTAGGGTAAGGAGAAGGAGGTTAATAATTAGTGAACACTTAAAAATTACATTTAGCCTTCAGCATATTGCATTTTTTGTGGTTCCGTAATTTTACTGATATGGAGCTATCCCACAAGGCATACCTAAAAGAGACAAAACCAAACCACAAAAATAAAATGCTGAAGACTGTGAGACATGTGACCTTGCGTTTGAATTTGAGAAGTTTGACTCCACTATGTCACCTTACTACTTCTTTGATAACCTCTTCATGACAGGACTCCTGTACTTCTGTAATATTTAAACATCCCCATGTCTGCTTTCATTTCTTTTATTAGAGCAAATCAGGGAAAAATATTAACCCCTGCATACTTAAAATTCTGTTAAGGTCACCTGCTCCTGGCTATGTAACTTCTTTTCTTTAAACTGGTTTACTGCTTTGTTCATGTTAGTTAGGTCTCAAATTACTTTAGACATGTAACTACAGTTCTGTGGAATTTCATACACACAACATAAAGGCAAATGCAATGTTAAGAAGAAAAAGCTTGCAGGAAGAAAAAAATATCTACAAATTTGTTTACTATGGAAAAAAAATCATAAACTTATCTATTCTGACACTGATTGTCTGACCAGCATTTTTCTTTTTGATTAACCAGAAATTCAACATGGATTATAATGAGAAGTAATACCAGTGAAATTATATCCCCCTGCTCCAACCCTCCTCCTTCTCAGTCTAGGCTATGGAATCAGGATTTTGTAAAGTAAAAAGCTCATTATCTCTTAAGGTACAATCAACACAGTTATTTCCCTACTTAAACTTGTGGATTTCTGCATCAAAGTTATAGCATGCTAATTCTTAGTTTTATACATCTTCAAGAGGTAGAATAGTTTCTGTATAGAAACATTGTTTCTCCAGTTGTTCAGGATGGGTTAGTATCATACACAGAATAAATCTGTTATTTGAATATACTGTGGATGTATACTCAAAATATTCATCAATTAAAAAAATCCTTACAACTTTGAAGGCAAGGTAAGTAATTACAGCACGAATAATTACTTAGTCTGGTTCATGAAATTTTATTAAGTCAGTTAACTGAAAAAATAGAATTCGACAAAAATAGTTTAGTCTTGGATAAATTAGTATTACTTTACAATTCCGGTTTTGAACATGTACTTTCCTTCTGTAAAACATGGACAGATATTGCAACTTCATTCTGTGAATTAAGCTAATTCAGAAACATCACAGAGCAATCCTTTTCTCCTGTGCACGAGGCACCTCTAGTTTATCTTGCCTCACGCGTTATGCATCCCATAGATGATTAAATTATTGGCTAATAGCCAACTGTGTTAACATTCCTGGAAGTCAAGCTTTCTTAAGTGATCATGGTATTACACTGAAATAGTGCTCCTATCCTGAAGGGATCAATGAAAATATGGATACAGAACTGTACTGGAATTTCTATCACATCCAGGAAGTTCAGGTCTGTTGCAGTCATGTGTATCATCATACCTGTTTCAGGTACCCAACTGACTAGGCATACACAATCCCAGTATAAATGACTGAAACAGTCTTGGAAGTTGCTTGTAACTGTATGAACTTTCCGATGTGATCCCTCAGGAAACCCTTTCTCAAATTTCACACAGGTATTTAAGGCATAACTGGCACAACTGCAGTTTTATGCACTAACACACATTGAACAACTGCAGTAAATCAAATTCTGGTTTTCATAGAATCACAGAACGGTTTGGGTTGGAAGGGACCTCAAGGATCATCTAGTTCCAACCCCCCTGCCATGGGCAGGGACACCCTCCACTACACCAGGTTGCTCAAAGCCTCATCCAACCTGGCCTTGAACACTGCCAGGGATGGGGCAGCCACAACTTCTCTGGGCAATCTGTTCCAGTGCCTCACCAACCTCTGAGTGAAAAATTTCTTCCTCACATCTAATCCAAATCTCCCCTCTTTCAGTTTAAAGCCATTGCCCTTTTGTCCTGTAAAAAGTTCCTCTCCAGCTTTCCTGTAGGCCCCCTTTAGGTACTGGAAGGCTGCAATAAGATCACCCCGGAGCCTTCTCTTCTCCAGGCTGAACAGCCCCAACTCTCTCAGCCTGTCTCCATAGCAGAGGTGCTCCAGCCCTCGGATCATCTTCGTGGCCTCCTCTGGACCCGCTACAGCGGCTCCGTGTCCTTCTTGGTTTTGGGTATGAGGGAGAAAAAGCAACATAAAGAAGAGAAGTTGCATTACCTGAAGACTAACCAACGTATTTCCATTTGCTTGTTCTATGGAAAAAAAGTCTAATTTACAGCCTAGATCCAGAGTGACAGCTCAACACATCCCACCCATGGCACACTGCTGGCTACCCCACAGGACTGCTCGCTGTCTTTTAAGCGTGCAACGTAGTTGCCTGTAATTCCATTCATCCAACACGGCAACTGAATCCCTTTCAGTCACCGCAAGCTGAGACAGCAGCTCAGATAAGTAACAGTTGCTTCTTACCACAACTCAATGGCTTCCCATGGGTCTAATCACGCTCTGATTTTGTTTTGGATATTTTCCCTGCGACGAGACACCGCGAGCGTACACACTCGCCTTACCAACAGAAGCACATCCTTTCAGTCAGCAATATTCTCAAGGTCACGTCCACCCTAAATGTCTCTATATTACACCGTGCAAAGGCAGAGCTGAGCGCTCTGAAACGCCTCAGGACAGCCTCTGACCACGCAGAACCCAGGAAAATGACTCCACAGCCATACCCAAGAAAAGCAGAACTGCACTGCTGAGGCACAGCCATATTTTTAGCTCTAATGCAAGATGCTTCTCTGTCTAACTGGCGAACTAGGAGCTAAACCTGGTCTGGAAGAATATTATATTCAGAGTACTGAGTTTCCTGTAAAAGACAGAAGAAAAAGAACCAACAAACATTGCTTAAATAGTCAAAATTCCATCTTTTACACCTGTAAGTGTACAAAAATATCCTGGTGCTAACAAAAAAAGGGAGAGAAGTGAACACGGAAAAAGTCTAAGTTTAACAAATGCTTGCTGGGCGAGCTTGCCAAAGTAGGTAGCCCTTCCATTTGGGAGTCTGTCAAAAAACTGTGCACAAGAACTACGGATTAACAGCATGGACAGAGCGTGGATTAACTTGTTTATGTATCTGTGGAAAGAGTAATTTTTCAAACAAGCACATTAAGTAAGAATTGAAGCTCTTATTCAGACTTCTAATTGGATTTCATTATTAGAGCCAGACAGCACAGGAAATTGGGACAAGACTAGTTGAAATCATGGAACATTTTCTGTATGAGACACTGAAAGTAGTACACAAGAATTCTCGGTTATAATTATCCTCCAGAGACTAGAGATTTCCATATTTCTGTGGAAGCTTTTTTGTGAATTCAAGTAAAAGCTCCCAGTTATCCACAATTTGCCTCTTAAGATGGGATAGGGAGGAAGAACCCTTACCTTTTGAATACGTAAAATTGACAAAGAGACACTCACATCTCCTGAATGGAATTCATTAACATCTAACTAGATACGTGATGGCACAAGTGTTTCACAAAGGTTCTCAATTCCTTCCCAGAAACTACTGGTTATCAAGCACAACTACTCAGCTATTTTTGTATTTGTTTCTTATGCAGCTTAATTTACTACTATCCAAACATCAAAGCAGCAAAGAAAAACACTCTCATCCTGTGGAAAAGAAAGTTAACATAATGCTTTGGATGTTATGTTAGCACTGCCATCGACAATCATTCCCACACGTCTGCTAACAAACAGTTCAGAGGTTTTGCTCCTGTTTATTTTGTGCAGTACAGGAGTGCAAATTGAAGTTGGACAAAACTCCAAGAGCACTTCCATTGGCTGGTTCTGAACAGCATGGCATTTGCTCTGAATAAACATAAAAAGCCTGGCTGAGATGGTCTGACCACATCATGACTGTTTTCATGCCAAGTAACGACTTCAGTCAACATGTCAGTAAGAACAATTTAAGAACCCATTTTCCTAAGGCCAACAGAAACCCCTTCGTGTTCCAACGACCAAACACTAAATCAATTATTTACTGACATTTTTCAGAGCAGTTAAGGGTTAAATAGAGGCAGCCTAAAGTTTATAGCAGAAGTGATGGAACTGTTTTCACCACAGCTCATGATAAATTGTGGCTCGAGGCTGCAACTGTCCCAAGGCTGCCATTGTGTACTCCAGACACGTTGTAAAACTTAGTCTCAGACTTGCCTCTTGATTTTAGTTTTTCTTTTTTTCATCCATACTCTCTTTTGACATAGTATACTTTAGTGGTAGGCTGTGTTTTTTTCTGCTTAATCATGGTGGCAAGAGGACAAATTAAAAAAAAACATTCTTAATTGATACACTATGAAATTATTAGTGCTGGAACAATTCTTGCAGTACCTGTAGGAGGCCTACAGGAAAGCTAGAGAGGGACTTTTTACAAGGGCGTGTAGTGATAGGACAAGGGGAAATGGCTTTAAACTGAAAGAGGGTAGACTTAGATTGGATATAAGGAAGAAATTTTTTCAGTGAAGGCCGTGAGGCACTGGAACAGGTTGTCCAGAGAAGCTGTGGCTGCCCCATCCCTGGTAGTGTTCAAGGTCAGGCTGGATGAGGCTTTGGGCAACCTGGTGTAGTGGAGGGTTTCCCTGCCCATGGCAGGGGGTTGGAACGAGATGATCTTTGAGGTCCTTTCTAACCCAAATGATTCTATGATTAATTCCAGAGCAACCCTGTGTCAAAATAAACACTGGCCACTCAACATCTGCTAAGAAAAAAAACCAAACACACACATCCATACGAAAATTTAAAAGTGCTATATTAGATTACACTTAAAGGCAGAGATTCTCCTTCAGGTGGCATGTTTCTCAGTAAGGAAATTTCATTTTGTTTGGAAACACCTGATGTACCAACCTATTCATATTTCAGTACATCGTCTTTTCTACATTGCCAGAGTTGCCAAGGCTAAAACTAGAAACAGACACCAGCTTCTGCATGAAACCACCGTATCTCCGCCTCTCCTTTTAACACTCAAACGCAGTTCTGCAAACAGCTGCTTTATCAGCACACACACGTGAGCATCATCGCTTACGCCATCCAGAGCAGGTGTGTTTGTAGGAAACAGGACAGAACACTAGCTTTTGTTTTTTTCTATGATAGAAGGGCAAGAAATATAAAAAAAGTTAGTTATTTATTCTCATTTGGTCTTCTCACAGTTTGGGAGAGAATAAAAGGCATCACAAGTTTGTTTGAAAAACAACTGAAATTCTGAGTTTAGGCTGTTTTCCCTCCTGTGCCAGGTTGTTGGGGTATTTTTGTCAATAAAAGTGAAAAGCAGCAAGTAGAATAAAAGCTAGTACTTAAAGATACTGCCAAGTCTTCACCATTTGCTCAGTTTTATTAACTGGTTGTCACATTAGCACTGTAATCTTTGAGGTCTAGTCACTCCCCAATTCAGTGGCAAGGTAATGAAGTACTCCCTACCTTCAGAATTACTCTAGTATCTTCTCTACTAGAGCCTCCATCTACTCGAGTCACTCTATATTCCAACCACTGCTGAACAACAGCCTTCTCCTCCGCAGTACTTCCAAGCAGTTGGTCTTTCTTAGCCTGTTTAACGAGGTGGGCAGCTATGGTCATTAATCCTGTGAGACCAGGACCATTGTTTGTTTGAAGGACAGGAACCTAGAAGAGGAAACAAAAGCGTAACACCAAACAACTCATTCAAAAAGCAGTCTCTAAGAACAGCTACTGTTTTCTTATAGTCCCTCGAAAGGATCTTAAAAGCAATATATCAGTATTTAGAAGTATCCATACTAAAGGCAGTAACATCAAAAAAGGTGTCATGATCTCTTCTTACTCTTTGAGGTGGTTTATTTTCATTTTTTTTCAGAAGAAATGTGTTTAACAGATGCACGTAGACAAACCAAGACACCTTTAGCTCCAATTAATCAAATTCTTCCAATATTAGCAGGAAATAGCACTGCTCATTCTAACACTGGCAGAAATCTTATTCACTAACTTTTAACTCATTTTCAAATTCAGGACTCTGACTTCAGACTGTGAAGTTAGCAGCACCCAATTCCTCTCTGGGCAGACCGCAGTAGCTAGAGGTACAAAACCCTTATTCACACTCACTGTTCTAGTGCCAAACACTCTGGCAGAGTCAGCAGCTCACTGGTAACAGCTGAGGACAACACAGCTCCTCTAGGTTTAACCATGTCTTTGTTAGTGACATTACCACGTGTTAAACTGTGGGAGAGGAGACTGAACCACTAAGAGTGAAAAATGAATGGAAAAGAGACTGAAGGCCATTCAGTCATTTAACAGCAAACAACAGAAGAGAAACTGATTAAAATGCAATAGTTTGGTGTTTTTTTTTTTAAAGTGTCTGACCACACAGAGGAGCCTGTCTATGCTCAGATTTATTAACATAAGATTCAAGTTGAAAGCATAATATTCATTTTGCAGTCGTAGCCAGACTTTGACTACTATTCATTTTTTCCACTGAACATGCAGTCAAAAAACAAAGCTATGAACAGATCTAGTTACTTGATTTTTCAGACTTATGCTTTACAGCAATAGCATTAAAATACCAGCTGGGCTGTTAAACAATTAAGGAAGATTTTGCAACCAAAGAATGCTATTCGGGACTCTGATCACAAACAGTAACTTTTAGCATTAAAATACCAGCTGGGCTGTTAAACATTTAAGGAAGATTTTGCAACCAAAGAATGCATATATTGCTATTCGGGACTCTGATCACAAACAGTAATTTCAGTCAATAAAAAACCACAGAAAAACATAACGCAACCATACAGCTTCTTTTCTCTGTTGATGTTTTCGGAGCGAATTACATAAAGGCTCTCACACATTTGTGACGCTCTCAGCCTCACATTACATTTCTCTTCCCTCAGATGCCTCTTAAACCAGACCTTAACGTTTCACTACGAACTTCAGAACGTCGAGACATCTACTTTGAAAGAGCAGAATACTGAAGACCAACAGTTCCTCACTACAGATGCATTTCGGATATTATATCTGCATCTTTTTTCACATAATTTAAGCACACCAGCACAGACACAACTTGCACCAGGAAAACAGGGAGGAGTAAGAACAAGTACGTTTTAAGCTGACATCACTCCAACGACACAGCACAACCCTTCCACAGGCAGAGGCTTCCAGAA